GCCCCTGCGGCGGCAGGAGCGGCAGCGGCAGCGAGCCTGGCACAAGTGGCAGCACCCATCCCCGGACAGCAAGAACGGCCGGGTGCGGAGGCACCCGCAGCCTCTGTGAGGGGGCAGAGGGGCCTGGGGCAGCCCCACAGCTCCCTTGCTGCTCTCTACAGGGCCCTCCCGGCACTCAGGCATCAGCTCCAGGACACCTCTCAGCTCCCCGTGCCTCGCTGTTACTACCTCAAGCCCTGCCAGCCCCGCTGTCTCCCCCCCGGGGCACACAGCCCGCTCTGGAACCCTGAGGCTCAAAGCTATTTACACCCTGCACAGTATTTATTCTCCTTGTTTTCCTTAATGCTGACTGTTACCAGCAGCAGCAAGCACAGAAGGCACAGAAGGGAAATAGCCAGCTCTCACAAATGGTTTCTAACACCTGGCAGCACCCGGCCCTGCCATGGACACCCTTGGAGCTGCTGGAGAGTCCTAATGCCTCTGGAAGCAACTGGGCACCTTCAATCTGCAGAGATGCCCATGCCCAGCCCAGCTCCCATCTGCTTCAAACCACAGGGCTTTTAAAAATTTTAACCTTTTTTTTACCAGGGAAAAGAAAAAAAAAAAAGAATCAACAGGCAGTTATACCAACTTACAATTTATTATTTTTTTAAAAAATGACATGAAACACAAGTAAAAATAAATACATCATATAAACAACAAATTGTTCAAAGTCTCTGTCCTGGGAGATCAGACAAGCACATCCCATTCGACAGAGAGAAGAGGGAAGCACATGATCATGCGTGGGGCCAATCGACCGACCCGCCCTGCTAGCAAGACTCCTCTTTCCAACCACAAGAAGACAGGCCACAAACTAAGGCAGTAATAAAACAGAAAAGAACCCCAAGACAACAGAAAGCCCAAAATGAGACTCAGCGATGGATTCCTTCAGGCTCCCCTGGATCTGCCAAAGACTCCAGCTCCGAGCCGGGTGCCACCGCAGTGGGAGCCACGCAGCAGCAGCAGTGCTGGTGGTGGTCTGGGAGGTGGCAGAGGCTGCTCACCCGAGTTTGCACCATCGGCCCTTCAAAGGGAGCACTTGCTTTACTCCAGCTGCAAGGAGCCATCACCCCCACTGTCATCTAGCTGGACTACGTTCCCCTTTCAGCCTCTGTCCCCCACCCCAGCCCTCCCCCCCTGGTCCTTCCAAGACTGGATTAACAAAATTCATCCCAGAGTGATGAGAAACACCAGCTGTTTTGCTGTACTTGCTCCTTCTGGCCATCCACAAACCAAGAGCAATTCTCTTGTATTCCACCATTTGCTGACATCATTTAGCCAAAACATACATAATTCCTAGTGAAGCCCCATGGAAATCCTGTCCTTTGCTTGCCTGAATATTTGCTTCCTGTGAGTAACTACAGCCACCTCGCCAACCTCCCAGGCACTCTGGGGGGCAAAAGTGCAGCAGATCCTCCATGGGCCAGGCTGGGCTGTGTTGCCCCCACCTGGCCTCAAAAGCCACATGGGTGGGCAAGCAACAAGACCAGAGACCAAGGCACACGGCAGCCTCAGCCTTCCCCGTGCCACCATGACCCACAGCAGTACCCCCACTGTCCCCAGGAGCAGGAGCCACTCAGCTAAGGGAAGGGCTGAGTGCTGATGTGGGAGGCAGCTGGCTCACCTGAGGCCCATGTAGCTCTGCCCCAGCCTCTCAGCTGTGCTCGAAATTCCATTTTAGTGCTCAAAAAATCCACTTTAGTGTCCAAAAATCCTTAGCAGAGAGTCCTGCACTGTTCTCCTCGTCACCCGCAGCCCTGCAGGGAACTGGCAGCTGCTTCCGTCCAGTCACTTGGAGACAGAAATCCAGCAGCAAAAGAAAAATTTAACCCGTGCAGGGAAAGTCCCTGTTCCAGGCTCAGGAAAATAACGACCAGATTCTCTGCAGCAGAACCATGTGCTGAAGCAGAAAAAAGGCGGGGGGGG